AAAAGCAATTGAATATTATCAGACATTGTCAAGTTCGTGTGTTATAGTAATATTATGAAACATTGTCATTAACTATTTTTCAAGTCTACTTAATTTTTCAAAAATGTACTTTTGGATCAAACTGTGGATGCGATTTGTAATGGTTGTACCTTTAGATTTTCGGCTGTAGATTTTTTGCTGTAATTTGTTCTGCTGTGCTTTTTAAAAATGAAAACATGATTGGTTTGGTTGTAGCTGTAAGATTATATTGTGAATTTTAAAAGTTAAAATGATTTGTAAATATTTTGTTATGATGTACATATATTTTTAGAACTGTAAATGAGAAGTAGAAGACACGATAAGCCAAGTACACGTTAATCGAAGAAAAAAATGTTATCATAATTTTCCAAAACTAAACGTGGGAAAGAAGAATAACTCTTTTCAAAAAAACCAAAAAAGTCACCATCCATTTGAGAATAATGTTCTACGTGAAACTAAAAATGTGTGAGAAGATTTTCCAAAGCTAAATTTTTGGAGCAATAGAAAAAATGTTCTCTACAGCCAAAATTATAGAAATTATTTTCTTTGGGATGTGAACTTTTTTTTAAGACAAAGCATGACTTCTTTTTTTTTTAATACAAAGCATGATTGGTTTATTTTTGTTGCTGTGGAAATGTTTTTGGCTTGTACAGCTCTAACAGCCATAAAAAATGAAGCCCTGTATATTAAGAAAACAAATGTTTGAAAGGAAAACAAAATAATTATTCAATAATAAGGGTCAAAACTAAATCTAATTAAATTCATGGATAAATCTCAAGTGAGGCTCCGAAGTGGTTCGAAGCAATGTTTCATTGAGTCTTGTGGCTCGTTCTTTGATACAGCCTTCGCGACCATGTGCTATCGATATCATTTTCCAATACATTTCATGCAAATATTTTGTTTGCCTAGCGTCTTTAATGGTTGATGTATAGAAAAAACAATAGACATATTGCAATCCTAGAATTGATTAAGCAAAGAGAAACCCAATATCAAAGTGATGCTCAATTTTTCTTCACTTCGCCAGCCTCTAGAACAAAAGATGATTAAATTAAGTTTTTAAGTCAATATTAATTACTGAATCGAGATACATTAGACATGTATTAAACTTCATTATCAAGATCTTTATCATTTGAGGTGGGCTGAAAAAGTTAAAAAAAAAAAAATTATACTATCATAACCATAAATTAGATCGAATAACAAAGAACATAAATAATTTACCAAACAACAAAATAAATTTTGAATATAAACCTGTC